GTTGTTATTTGTAATTGATTTGTAATATATATTTGAATAGTACATTTATTCTTTTGAATATACATTTGCAAATTCTTTGGTAATTCTTTTGTAACTGATTAAGACATGGTAATCAAAACTGAAATTATTTTGTAATTTAATATATGTGGATATATATAAGAACACAACATTAGTAAATTATGAATTGGATAATCAGGACACAACATTTATGAATTGTCAAATTTATGGATTGGATTATCAGAACATAACTTGTCAAGTACTTGGATAATCAACTTTAAGAATTGGCAAAATTTTGAAAAGCACTAACAACAAACAAACACTGACAGCTTTCCTTGCGTAATAAACTCCGATTCCAAAAAATAACCAAAAGAACATGTCTGCTCCCCCGTGGTGAATTTAGTTTTCACCGTGAAGATGCCACATGTTCTATTAAATCATTGCGGACGGCATGATATGCATTTTTATCTCTAATACCTAAATGATGAGAGAGAAATGATTGGAAGTCATTGTTAGTACTACAGGAAAGTTCAACTGGTGAGTTGGTTAATGAAGTATCATAATCGAAATCAAGATGCTCATCTCTCTCATCTTCGACAATCATATTATGTAATATAACGCAACTCTTCATTATGTTCCCAAGCATTTTTGGATCCTAAAAACGTACGGCACCACCTATAATTGCAAATCGGGATTGGAGCACTCCGAATGCCCGCACTACATCCTTCCTTGCTGACTCTTGCATCATTGCAAAATGTTGCTTCTTTGCTCCTTGGGGAGAAGAGATTGTTTGAACTAGTGTTGCCCATTGAGGGTATAAACCATCAGCAAGGTAATAACCCATATTATAACTATGTCCATTAATAGTGTAATGGATAAGGGAAGCTTTACCTTGGGCAAGATCAGAAAACAAGGACGATCAATCTAACACATTCAAGTCATTGTGTGATCCAGGCATTCCAAAAAATGCATGCCAAATCCACAAATCATAAGAAGCTACTGCTTCAAGAATGATGGTTGATTTTTTCTGATGGCCTACGTATTGACCTTGCCATGCCTTTTGGAAAATTTTTCCACTCCCAAAGCATGCAATCTAAACTTCCCAACATACCCGGAAACCCACGAACCTCCCCAATAGCAAGTAATCTAGCAATATCAGTTGATGTTAGAGATCTCAAGTATTCTGGTCCAAAGATTTGAATTACTGAATTACAAAAGTGTTGCAAACTTTAAATTGCAGTGCTTTCCCCAATACATATATAATCATCAACTGCATCTGTTGCCACTTCATATGACAATATTCTCATTGTTGAAGTCGTCTTTTGTAGGGGAGACAATCCAATAATATGAGCTGCATCTTGTTTTTGAACAAAATATGGATCGTATGCTTCAATAGCTTTCAAAATTTACAGATACAGAGGACGACGCATTCGAAAACATTTCCGAAATGTTACAAGTGAATAAATTGGATTTGCCGCAAAATAATCAGCGAACAATCGCTCATGACCCTTCCATCTATCGCGACGTATATACTTATGTCCTACAATAGAACCACCTCTTTTGTTTAATTGATCAGTTGATTGCAGAATCTGAATCATACTAGCATTATTTATCTCATAAACCCCCAAAAGTGACCATTTTTTCGTCATCAAACTCACTATCAGAGGATGAGGAAGAAGAAGAGGATGAAAATGAAGTGAATAGGTAAGAATTTGAGATACTCATTATGCTCTGCTTTCAGTTATGGTGCCTTCCAGATATAACGTACCTTTTGTCTGGTACATGGATTAATGTGTTTATATCAGTTCTTGGAAGGAAATCATTATTGGAGGCAACAAAAAATAGAAAATATTTAATGGAGGGAAAAAGAAATGGGAAACAAAAATGTAGGGGGGGAAAAAAAATTTCAGTGCCTTGATCGATCGACTGACCGGCCGGTCGTCCCACCAGACGTCTCCAGTCTTTTGATGCAAGTTACAGTGCAACCGTTGGAGCGACTCATATCAGATTGAGGAACTTGTCTTTTTTTTACTCAGATTTGGTGAATCTTTGGAGATGCTCTTAGCCCAATATATTGCGTCTAAGGTAAGTTAGCTACCTACGAGCAAATAACTTAAGACATTAAAGCCAATGTATGTACGTATGTATATAAGCATATTGGAATTTGAAAGTGATACAAGAAGAAATCAAGAACAAATTTGTGTGAATGTGAAAAAATTTCAGTAAGAATGAGATTAACATATTGTATAATTGATAAAAACATCGATAATAAAATAATTTAGAGAAATATTAAAACAAAATCGTACAATCAGATAATAGTAGTAAAATATAAGGTAAAGATTGTATCCAATGAAATTAGTGGATAAAACTAAGGAAGGACTAATACTAAATTAGAAATCTAGAGAGAAGCACTTGGGTGAAGAGGGTTTAAAATTTATAGAAATAGAATTGAATATATGAAATGTAACTTTAGTAACAACAAAAGTAGAAATAATGGAATAGTGAATATTGAAAATCATGGGATAACAAATAATGAACAATTTCGTTACTTAGGTTCAATTATTAATAAAGATGGAGAGGTTGGAGATTATGTGATAGTGAAAAATAATATGAATTTATTTAATTTAACTTGGCATATAGCCCTTGACAAAGGGAAATGGCGAAAAAGGATTCATGTCAACCCCACTTAATTGTGCACAAGGCTAAAATTGGTTTTTGGTTATGTTGTAGCTATTATTGTCTTTCCACATGAAGGTAATAACGGACAATGAAACAACTCTAAGATTTAACCCAAATCATTGCTAAACCCTTCAACGTTCACACACACCAAATGGGTATAAGAACAGGCTACGATCAATTGCCTATAAAATATATGAAAATAATAGAAGATTGAAAGGGTAGAGATGGAGAGAAGAAAACAAGATTTACAATATTGATGTGTGCAAAAATCATAGAACCCCGAGGTCTTAATTAGACATGTAGTGTCTTTTCATTTGGAACAAAACTCTTGGTTTGTGACTTTTCAAAAAAAAAACATGACTTTTCTTTGGGATGTGACTATTAAATTAAATTTTGAAATTTTAAATTCCTACAATTGGAATTACTTTTTCATATTGACACGTTTATATCCTAAACTTTTGGTTATTTGTGATTTGTGATTTGTATATTCTTTATTTGTTTCATCTTATGATCTGGTCTAGTGTGTGCCATCTATATATTTACCTTTTGTAACCTCTTTTAGGGTGTAATTTATTTATTTATTAAATAAGATTGCTTTGTTAGGACATCTTAACTGCCATGTGGTTAATACTGGAAAGCCATGTGGCATGGCAAATGGTGATGTAAGGAGCAAGTAGTTCACAAGTTTTCAACATCTGCATACCTATGTTTTTACTTTTCAGTTCAATATGCTTTCTCTTACTTTCAGGTAGGATTTTTTTGTTTTTTGGTTGGCAATTGTTCCTAATGTAAGCTTGGTAAGTTTTTTATCCATTACTTACGGGTCCCTTGGCATTCATATAAATTGTGGTTTGAACCCTTGAATGTGGGTGGGGAGGCTAGAGATCTCGACTTTTGTGAGAGCATTTCAAATTATAGCTTTCTTAGGTTTCTCACTAGGTGCTCCAATAGCTACAATGCTGAACTAAGAATAATTCACAGTTAACCAAGTAACAACAATGCATTCTGGATCTTTAGACACACTTGCAATACAACATATTCATATTGATGAAACTTAAACATGAAATGTCCACCTGCATAACTGTGTGCAATCCTTATTTACCATGTTGCAGTCCTGCATGCAACAAATGCACTCAAATCAAAATTTGATGGACTTTCAATTAAGCAAATTGAAAGAGTATTGAATAATTCAATTAATCTCTGTTGTTATGTGGAACCTTAACTGAGAGCATATAAATAACCACTGACTTAACAAGTAGAAGTCGGAACTCCTAGAAACATAGCTGAAGAAAAAAGGGAGCAAATTGAAATTCAATAATTAGATACTATTTTTTAGCTGCTTTTTTGCTAAAATATAAGGTGAAAAAAACTGAAGTGTTTCGGAATGGCTTTGTGGCTTTTTATGAAAAACGTTCAAAAAGTAGAGAGAATGGGAAGAAATCTTTTTTTGTATGGCTTTTTAGCTTTTTGGCTAAAAAAGCCAATTGCCAAACCCACCTATGTCAACACTTTGTAAACCATCATCATCCCAAAATGAGACTTTTGAAGGTGGTTAAATGTACACTACACTACACGGAAATATGTTCTCTTATTAGCTCTTCAAATATTTTGGAAACTAGTGAAATTTACAATTTGTGAAAGTGATTTTTCACATCATTTACTATTGGTTTGTCACATCATGCAATACAACTTTGCTTTTTAACTTAACTAATTGGTTTGAATGCAACCCCTCATGTTTCTTCTCTTTGTTTCATACAATTTTTAATTTGGAATCTTCTACTAGATTTTTGAGGGTGGTTGGTTGGTTGGTTTGATCTGTTTATTTTTTTTTTTTAATTTTTCTGTTTTTTGGTAGAGTGCAAGATATAAAACACTAACCATTTTCCATCTCAATTATGTGCTTAGTGTCAAATGATTTCCATGTTTAAAATTTGTGATTTTGTTTATGATGTTTTCTCTAGTGGTTTGCATTTAGCTATATAATGTAAGATGGCATCTTATTTTATATGCTGTTTGATCTGAAGAACTAGGACTCACAAAGATGTGGATTCAGGGTTCACGAGAAGTTTGTATATGCCACTTTTAGTGAGTTTATGCTATGTAGTGTGGTAATAGATTGAGCTACTTGGTCAAGTGACAATATTTTCTTATTTTCCAAAGCAATTTTTGGTGATGATATTTCCAATATTGAAATTATGGTATATGAGCTAAATGGAATTTCTGTTTCAAAATTTACCAATTAAAACAAGATTTGAATTTTGTATCCATGGTCCAAAACTCTTTTGGGGTTAAATCAATCCTTTTTTTCCCTTCCTGACAAACAGGTGCGCCAATCGCGGGCTCTGCAGTTGACCAGTTAGAGGAAGTTGTGGGTTATGTGAGTTTGGGTTATCCATTCGGTCTTACTGCATCCATTCTCTTTGGGCGGCACCATAAAGCTATTCTACAATCTCCTAAACCAAAGCTGTTTGTAATGGGGACTCGGGATGGGTTCACTAGTGTTAAACAGTTGGAGAACAAATTGAAATCTGCAGCAGGTCGCGTTGAAACTCATCTACTGGAAGGAGTAGGCCATTTCCAAATGGAGGGACCTGCTTACGACACTCAGATGGTCGATCTCATAATAGGATTCATTAGGTCATTGCAGATCCAACCAGCTGAGACTGGTTCTCTCAAATCAACATCATGATGAATGAACATCCGCTACACCCACAAGGCCTCTTCTAGGTATTCAACTTTGTAGCAAAAACATTGGCTTTGTTTGTTTGTTGTTTGTGTACAGAACCAGGGATTGGAGATGGTTGACATCCATCTGTCTGGGGGATCGTGCAGCTTACAAAACTGTGTAATCTCATCCGCAAGCTGCTTCAATGAACATGATGCCGATTTGCTATTTATATGTGCTTTGATTTGCAGGATTGAGATTTCATTCAAACCAGTAGGAAATCTACGCATTTTTTTCTTTTTCGTTATTTATTTATTGTGTACAATGGAGAACAGACTTGCTAGTGAGGTATATGGGTTCTGGCTAGTGACCCAATGATTCATGTCTAGATTTTTATTACCACATATTATAATGAATGAGACAGATAAAGAAACAGGGCCACTAAAACTAAACTCTTATTATATTGTTGAAACACAACTCTTTCTTCCCTGATAGATCATATAGATAAGCTGTGATGGTTCTTCCGAATGCATCATAAATGGCACAAGCAGACTGTTACGTGGATGGAATAGAGAAAGGAAGGGAAAGGAGAACCATGGAAAAAGAGGATAAAAATACCAACAATGCTAGGTAACTCAAAATTTTGTGGCTCAAATGGCTCAAATCACTCAAAACGACGTCGTTTTGAGTGTAAATGAGTGTAAAACGACATCGTTTTGACATATTTGAGCTATTTGAGCCACAAAATTTTGAGCTACCAAACATTTTCCTAAAAATACTAACAAATAAGTATGTCATAAATATCATTATTATCTACCTGGTTATCTAAAAACCATGTAGTTTGACCTATTTTTTTGGCCCCACAAAAATTGTGACATGATTTACCTGGTAAAGTGAAAGGCTCAGCTGCAATAATTTTTTCGAAAAATGTTTGGTAGCTCAAATTTTTGTGGCTCAAATGGCTCAAATCTGTCAAAACGACGTCGTTTTACACTCAAAATCTGTCAAAACGACGTCGTTTTACACTCAAAATCTGTCAAAACGACGTCGTTTTGACAGATTTGAGCCATTTGAGCCACAAAAATTTGAGCTACCTATCATTGTCGAATTTTTTCTCGGGTTCGTCTGCTTCTTTTACGTTGACAAGAATGGCCTATAAATAGTACAGAAGTAGTTGAGTTTTGTTAAAAAAAGCTGACCATATTTAAGAAACAGAGTTCTTGTTGAGTAAAACATTTAGAGAAAATTGATGATAAATTTAATGTCCAAAGTATCAGGTCTAGCGAATATTTTGTTGTTGGTGAGAGTCTACGTTTTGTAAAATAGTTTGGTAAGAAATCTTGTAAGACATTTTATTTTCAATTTTACCCCTTGTTTTTTTTTTTTTTTATCTGTTTGACTTTTTGTTGATTATTTGTTCAAATTTTTGCCCTATCTGTTCAAGTTTTTTCCCATCTATTCAATTTTTTTACCCTATATGTTTAATTTTTTAACCTTTTCAATTCAAATTTTGCTTATCTGTTTAAATTTTTGTCCAAATAAAATTCTGTCTATCCAAATTTATTATTTGTTCAAAATCTATATATGTGAAATGCCATATGTTTGAAATTCTTATCCTAATTTTCCCTATCTGTTAAAATCTATCTTTTCAAATTGTTTTTGAAGTAGTGATCTAATTTGTTTTTGTTATCTGTGCAGATTAGAGCCCTCAATGTGTTTGTTATCTGTGCAAATTACAGATCTGTTCAACAAAAAATGTGTAGATTTGAGCTATTACAGATCTATTCAATGCTATTACAAATCTGTTTCATTATCATTAACAACAACAAGAATAAGAACCAACCAGAATAGATCAACAACTATCAAAAGAAAAAAGAACATATCAAAAAAAAAATGTTCAATCGTCATCTTTAACGACATCAACAATCTAAAAACAATCATATCAACAACAATAGAAGATGAATAGATTGGAATGATGTGAAAAAATATAAACATGAATACACCAAATAAAGATCAGATCTAAGCTTAGTATATTCAACAGATTAGATCTATAGTTTTGTATCATTTCCCAAGCTAGGGTTTTCAAATCTCTTACCTTCTTTCTCTCAAGCTTCCAATTCATCATCATTTTCATCTTCTTCGTGAGATCAAGCATCAGACGATGGTGAGGTTGAGATTGATTTTGGTTTGTTCGACTGCATCTAGAACTTTGTCGCTCGAGCTAGGTTTCGACGTTGTCCACTATCTATAAAGAGATCTAAGAGAGGTGGAAGCGACGCTACGAGAGAGGATGAAATGAGAGGTGAGAGAGAGAGAGAGAGGCGGCATTGGAGCTTTGACGGTGGCAACGGTGGGCCGAAACCGACATGAACGAAGCTCCTACTCTCTTGTTAAATATTTTTCGGATTACATGACACATGAATTTGAAATGAGCATAATGGGAGAATTTTCTTATTTTCTTGGGTTTTAGATTAAGCAATTGTCTAAGGGTATGTTTGTGTCTCAAACCAAATATGCTAAGAGTCTTGTCATTAAGTTCAGTCTTGAGTCTGCCAAACACGTACGAACCCCATGAGAACGAGTTTTCACTTGTCCAATGACCGTTCTAGCATTGATGTTGATTCCACACTCTATAGGAATATGATTGTGAGTCTTTTGTACCTCACAATAAGTCGGCCTGATATTGCTTTTAGTGTTGATGTGTGAGCCCATTATCAAGTTTTTCCTAAAGAGTCTAACATTCTAGCCGTCAAGTGTATTGTCAAGTATGTCAGTGGGATTTTGGGGTATAGGATTTGGTTCTCTTCTAACACCACCGCCGACATTACCGGTTTTTCTGATGCTGATTGAGCAGGGCGTGCTGATGATTGCAAACGCATATCTCAAGGTTGTTTTTACCTTAGAAATAATTTGGTTGCATGGCATAACAAAAAGCAAAATGCCATCTCTCTTTCGACCGTTGAAATGGAATACATTGCTGAGGTAGTTGTTGTGCTCAAATGATTTGGATGAAGCAAATATTTCATGATTATGGCTTGGATTAGCACACAATCACTTTCTGTGATAACACAAGTGCCATCAATATTTGTCGCAAACCTGTTGATCGGAGCCTAAATGTTACACAATTGGCCTACAAACATACATTTTATTTGTCTATTTATTTTTATTATTCTATAATTTTGTATAATAGTGTGCTTCTATACATTTTAAATGTTTGGTGGTTTCACCCACCACACCACATTTATATATATATATATATATACTAGTTACAAAACAGCCTGTGTAAGACACGAGTTAAATATTATAATGAAAAATTAAATTATTAAGCTAACTACTTGTGTTCTCTCTCTTATAAGAGGCATAAAAGAGAAAACACAATATCATTTTACCTCCTCAACTAAAAATACTTAAAATGATATTATCATTGAACTATTACCCAATATCGTTATACCTCGTCAACTAAAAACGCTATATTTTTTCACCTTAAATTATTAATTTGTATCAATGCACACTTTTTTTTAAGAACTTATTTTTTGAATAGATAAAGAAATTGACATGTGAATTGCATATGACATCTAAAATTAAATACTTAAAATGATATTATCAATCTATTTGGTTTAATTTTTAAATTGTTTTCTAAGTTTTTATGTATTTTTTTATTATGTATCTTTGATTTAAAATATCATCGAGAAAATATATTATTTATAGTTTTAAATTTTTTTTTCTTTATTTATTTATCACAATTCATTTTTTTTTTCTATAAATATTTACAACACAACAATGGTTCCTAATATAATTGCTCATAAGTAAGACTTTCATAATATAACCAAAATACTTTATAATTATCTCCACAAAAAAATAATATCATAAAAAATTCGTAACCTATTTTTTAAAAAAAATATCAAACAAATTAGAAATAAGAAGAATAATTACAAACTCATGAAAGTACAACACTAATTTGCACAAATTTAATGCATAAATTAATTGTATTTTCATGAGTTTTATTTTTTATTTTTAACTTTCTACTTTTTTATACTCCCCTTAAATTTTTTTTCTTTTTAAAGGAACGTGTGCCGCACAATTTTTGTAAAGATAAGTATTAAGAAAGAATAAAAAAACAAAATGCAGAAATGAAAAAAAAAGTGCAGCAAAAGAAAGCACAAAAAGACAATTTTTTTTTTTTAAAAAACAAAAAATCAACCACCACTTCTAATAAAACAAAGAAATAAAAGGATTTTATAAAGACAAAATAGAAGGCAAAATTGGCAATAGAGAAAAACGCAACCCATCATTAATGCTGTGTTTGGTTGGAGGATTTGGGAAGAGATTTAGAAAGGGAAATGAAAAGGGTAGGTAAAATATGAATAAAACATGCTTATATATCACCTAATTTCACACACTTTTTTCTTTCCAAATCTCTCTCCAGATCTTCAAACCAAACACAGCATAAAAGTGAAGTGGTCCTTATTAGTATAGATATACTAAGTAGAAAAGGCCAATGTAAGGCATGGGTGGAATGATAAAATGAAAAAATTATATGAAAAAGAGAGAATTTCAAAATAGTGAGATAGACAAAAAAATAAAACAAAACAAAAAATAAAAAAAATAAAATCAATAGTGAGATGCAAGTGATTTTATAATGGGTGTAACTTGCAACCCCCCCGCGCCGCGGGACGTGTGAAAAAATATAATTTAAGTGGGTAAAAGTTAGTTTATTGGCTAAAAAGTTACCACTTTTTTCAAATTTTTATCTTTAGTGGTTTCTTTTTCAAACTTACGTTAGAATTTTTTTAACTTTTCTAGTTCGCCTTTTATAAATGAATCGAGTTTGCCTTTTATAAATGAATATAGAAAGTTAAAAAAACAAAATCAAAGAAAAATTGAAAAAGATAAAATAAGCACAAAAAAAAAAAAAAAAAAAAAGAAATTTACTCATAAATCTCATATGGAGCAATATTGATCCATTTAGTCTTAAGAGCTTTTTATGAACCAATTGGTCCTTTTTGTTTTAAAAATTTATATTTATTTGATTTGGTGACATTTGAGTTTAAGGAAATATCCTTTTGTGATTCATTTTTCAATTTTCTAATTCATTTTTAAAATGAGAATGAAAATCTGAGGTGTAAAAGATTCTTTTTGGAGGGATTGATGGCTGAAATGTTGGCTATCAAGCGTGAAAATCTATATTTCTGTTAGTGTGGTTTTCTAATGTTACATTGGAGTGTTACATTTGGAAAAAGTAGATTAACGAGTTTTTGTGCGTTACATTGATTGGAGTGTTTTGTTTGGAAAAAATACACTAAGAAATTTTTTTAGAATGTTGAAATTTTTTAGTGTGTTACATTGGAGTATTACATATGGGAAAAGTATATTAAAGAGTTTTTGTGTGTTATATTGATTAGAGTGCTACGTTTAGGAAAAGAACACTAAGAT